CCCCCCCCCCCCTCAAAGCCGTCCCTATGCACAGATTTAACTGTAAATTATGCGGGGGGAAGGCCCTCATTGAGAATTGGCCCCAGTAGCTGCAATTTCTTAAAAAAATGCCCTGCTTTTACAATGGTTTGAAAGCTATTTAAAAAATAGAATGCAACGTGTAGTTGTAAAAGGGCAATCATCTGAGTGGGAAAATATTGGTTCCGTGGTTCCTCAAGGGTCGGTGTTAGGACCGCTTTTGTTTTTACTTTATATAAACGATTTGACTGATGATTTAGAATCCTATCCGTTCATCTTTGCTGATGATACAACTCTTTTTGAAGTTGTCGATAATCCAATGGATTCTGGTCAACTTTTAAATGATGTTTGTGTGGTGTTACTCTGAGTGTATATCCACACCGGGAAGGCTTGAAAAATATGCCTGGCTACGGCGGGATTCGAACCTACGACGGCGTAGCTCAGTTGGAAGAGCATTGGGCTAGTATTCCAAAGGTCGTAGGTTCGAATCCCGCCGTGGCCAGGCATATTTTTCAAGCCTGCCCGGTGTGGATATACACTCAGAGTAACATCACACAAACATTTTAAATGATGATTTAACAAAGATTTCTCGATGGTCTGATCGGTGGTTGGTGATAGTGAACCGCTTTAAAACCCAATCTATGACTTTTTCAAATAAGAGAGATTGAAAGACTAAATAACCCGGTGCTGTCAATGGGAGGGTGTGATGTCGAAGGAGTTGATATTTATATCCATTGACCTTACTCTTCAAAATAATATGTCATGGAACAGTCATATATTTTCAATTTATGAAAAGGCCTCCTATAAACGATTACAATTTGTTAAAGTCATTAAGGTTTAAAATTGATAGGTGAACTCTTGTTTGTTTGTATACAAGTTTGATACGTCCAATTATGGAGGGGGATCTTATATGGGATCATTGTTCTGCTGGAAATAGCGAGTTACTTGAAAGTGTTTAATATGAGTGAGCTAAAGTCGTTACTGGGGATATAGCAGCTAGGTACTAGTTCAAAAAGCCTTCGGGACGAACTTATTTGGGAAGAGCTGAGCATCAGAGGAAATAATCATAAACTGTCTCATTTCTTTAAGATAGTTAACAAACATACTGCTCCATATTTAGTGGATTTTTTGCCGAAATTGGTGAATGAAAGATTTTATATTCCTTTACAAACTGCTCAAAATATTACAAAGTATAGAACTGAAAAATTTGAGAAGTCTTTCTTTCCTTCAACAATTTTCTTATGGAACTCTGTTGATTTTGATGTTAGAAATTTAACTTGCAAGGTCTGACAATTTTAAAGCTAATGTAACTAAACTTTATTACTCACTTCATTATGATAACTGGCATAATTTTCACTTTCGAGAAAAGCTTCTGTTTTTCATACAAGATTAAGATTAGGATACTGTGCTCTAAATGGTTATTTATATAGCATAAATTGTTGTAGTAATTCTCCCTTATGTGTGTTGGTTCAGAAAGAGAAACTGTTATAAACACTATTTGTTATCTTGTCCCCGTTTTGAAGCTCAACGTACAAATCTTCTTACCTCTGCTGCACAAGTTTGTGGCGGTCAAGAACTGGCAAGTGAATAGTAACAATGAGAAGGTTAAGTTTATTTCAAGGATCTATACAACTGATCGAGTTATAAAGAAAATTGTGTGCTATTTGGTATTGTATATACAACGTCAACGTTATATTCTGCACGCTCGTCGATTCTCCTAGTCTGTTTCTTCAATTGTCTTTGTGACTATCTCTTTTTTTCTGTTGTTGGTTGTCTCTTGTTATTTTGTGTTTATAAACTTGTAAATACTTCTTGAAAAAAACAATGTAATTTCATGTGATCCTCCTTGATAAGCCTACGGCTTTAGAGGCAAACATTCTAACAAAGTTATTAAAAAAACTCATTAATAATTCATGAAGAAAACACAAAGAAAAATCATTAGCGTATCGTATCTGTATATGTGATACAGATTTATGTTGATTTACATAAACTTTAACTTTGATTTTCTCGGCTTAGACAACGTTTCTTTTTAAAATTACTTCGCCAATGAACTCATAAGATGAGTCGTTTTAAAATTACATTCGCGTCCGTGTTGTATCAGATATACAAACTCTCGCCTTCGGCTCGAGTTTGTATATCTGATGCAACACGGCCGCTCATGTTGTAAACATTACTTATTAAAAAATTAATTTGGTTGTTGATCATGTGGCACATTCCAAACTTGATGCCTCAAGTAGCCCCAAAGAAAAAATCGCACGGCGACAGTGAGAAGAAGGGGGGGGGGGATGGGGGCAAGGCGAATCACCCCGTTTACTTGTCAGACTGCCAGGAAATTGCCCCCGAAGATATCACTATATTATTGTGTTACTGGTTGTCAAATTAGTTAAATAGGCCGTTTTTGTGCTAATTTTCGACAATTTTGAAAATGTTTACTTATATTCAAACACAAATATCTTGGGCAAATGTTAAAATACACATGACAAATACCAAAAATTAAAGTTAGACCTCAGTGAACTAAACACTTTTTGACTAAATGTAATAGCTCTTTTAATTTTTAAGTTATACTGAATCAAACATGAATATCAGAGGCGTAGGAACCGGGGGCACAGGGGGCACGTGCCCCCCCCCCCAAATTTATTCAAAGGACCAGAAGTACCCTTTTTTGTGATGAGAAGTGCCCTTTTTGTACAAGCTAATGTCGCTGTAAATACTAATAATATGGGTTTTTAAAAACATAGAAACTTCCAAACAAAAAGAGCTATATACATTTCTTTTTGGGGGACATGCATTTCCTAATGAATATTTATTTGGAAAACGAACGAATACTTTCAGTCGACTACAGTGTTACCTACGCACAGGTTATTGTGATATTAACATTTAATATAATAGGCCGTTTGTCTAATCCAGCGACAACAATAACCGAGTTCTAACACACCTTGAAATTATTATTGAGAAAAATTTGCCGCCCAACTCAATAATGTGACTATAATACATACAAAACATCGACATATTTGTGAGAGCATCAACTACCAAGAAGGCTGTCATCGCTGAACTTCGCCTGTTCCTCTCACCCCCCCCCCCCCCCCCCCCATCCCCCCTCTTTGTGATTGTGAAAGCATTAAAATTGTGACAGTCCTCATCGCTGAACTAACTTGTGAAATTTTCGTTTTTCTTTAGAAGATATAATTATAAACACTGGGAATCTCGCTTGGCACTTGAAGGTAGAGTATTCTCGTTAAGTTTTATTTTCTTTCTACAAGGACGGAGAAATTCTTATAAAGTGTGTTGAAATTGTTTTGGGGGAGACTTTTTACTTCTATTATGCCTCTATACATGCATGCAGTTCAAAAATCTTTGAAAGCATTTCTATATATGCATATTCATAAGTTAGGGCCGGGGGGGGGAGATTTGCGAATAGGAAATTTGCCTAGGGGGCGTGCATTTTTAGGGGGGGGGTAGCGGGCATATTTCCTGTTACACCGGAAAATTTGCCAAATTTCAAAAGGTTTAAAAGCGGAATTTGAAGAGATTTAATTGTTATATAATTCTGCGTGGTTTCAACTAACCGTACGTGCAACAGATAAATATAGATATAATTCCATGTAAGTTTTCACGTTAGACACTTCAAATTCCACTGTCCGTTCCTGTCTTTCATTGTCTATAGCCAGACTGTGGTGTTTTCAACACGATCCATATACACCTTATCACTCTACAGATCTTTTGAAAAGTAATTATTTCTAAAACATTCATCTGCATATATGCTCTTAAGTAAATAAAGAATATAAGTAAAATTTAAATCAATACAGGATGTAGTTAAGTCCTTTGTGTTGTTTGGCACTGCCATTCCGCGCCGGAAAACGAAATATACAACAAAACTCAATAATCTGAACGTTAGCATGTTGATTACTTGAAATTCAAGACATGTGAACATAACATGTCGATTTTATTTAAAATTATTATCAGACAAACTGATTAATTAATATATATCGAAAACTCATTCCCGTCTTATTTTGACTCATAACTTGAGTTTCAAGATGTAATCTTCGCATTTTGTAATATATTTTTTTTAAATTATCGCCTGGTATTGTTTTTAGAAAAGGAAACTCTGGAGTATATTCATTTAAGTGCGAATTTTTTCATATTCATGTATTCTTGGTTTACCGTAATTTTGCTTTGATATGAATTGTCGTTTTTGTCCTTTTTTGACGTCCTCCATTCCTTAACTTCGCTTGAGAGAAGTGTTTCATGTTCAACATTTGGATTATAAGTAGACGTAGTATTATTTCGCTCAATATAACTACACCATTCGCCATTCACATAGTCCATTTCCACCTGTCCTGTTTGTGAAGTTTTCCGCCTACTATCGTTTAATTGAACTGCCTTACCCGAAGCTCTGCGCTTTCTTCGCTTTGTTTTCGAGCTAATTTTGTCCGTTAAATCATCTGAAGAGTCGCCATAACCTGAACTGTTTTCACATTTAGTGCCATGTAACTGTAATTCAGAGTAATTCAGTTTACGAGAATTTGGACGTTGTTCAATTTTAGGCGAAGCTGGGCAGCTGTCGGGATTTTCAATTAAACTTTCAATTGATGAATGTAGTTGCACCATCGACACAGATTTTGTCCGTTCACGAACATTATTTAGTTGTGTTAAAGAAGATTCCCCTCTGTCCTGTTGCTTTTCTTCAGCCATTTGGTGAAATATTTCAGAAATTTTTAAAGCGACGTGTTTAGCATCTTGCCTTGAGCGACACTCAACAACGTGACAGTCCAGTCCGCCATATAAATTATCAGGTGCTCGATAAAAGAAGCCAAATATCTTTTGATGTTGCTTGTCCACTCCGCAATAGACGATTCTCTCAATCACGAATTTCTTCATTGAGCCTTCACTTCCAGTCAGACCTTTTTCAAGTTGTATTCCTTTTGAAGTAACGATCATATTTTGACAAGGAATCTTTCTTTGTCGACTCGCTGTATACTTCTCCCCCATGGCGCGACATATTTCTTCGGCACCTGGATGAGAACATAACACACTTCCTAAAACCTTAACTTCATACTCCTGGTTGTCGCTTCTTTCTTTTAGAAAACCGTTAAATGAAAATCTCTTCATAACACCCAGTTATACCGCGTATATATTCGAGCTGAAATGAATAAAATTTATATTGATATTGATTCAAACCTCGTTACGGAATATTCGCATTGTATTACGATGCATTGTCAGCTTCAACACCAGGTTTGACTGCTTATTTGAATTTCAATAGTATGACGTTTAATCATTTATTGCAAATGACTTTTATTGTGTAGCGTTACGTCGGCTTCTTTTTATGTATGATAGATGAAACGTACGGCGTCACGTTGCTTCGTTGATTTATAAGTAAAAACATTTCCCCGTTTTCCAGCAATACATATTTCGTTTGGTCGTATTCCAAGCTTGATTTTATTTCATATATGGTTAATGATTATAATGTCTTTGACTCTAAGACAAAGGATATGCCATGATACCGGATATTTGTTTCTCTGTTCTTTACAATTTTCTTGATAACATAATAAATATAATGACTTTTCTTTTTAAAAAGACGCTCCTTAATCACCTCATACATGACATCATCAGATAGCGGAGACGTGTGCTCCATAAAATCGCGTTCACGTGGAAATATTCCATGCTGACACGACAAAATTGTTAGATTTATACTAGTACAATACCAAGATAACTACGTACTCTGTTGTAACGAGTATGATACCGGCAACCATGCATGTGTCGACAACCAGATTCATGTCTCGTTGTCTACGAGTTAGGGGGTTAATAAAATAACTGTGACTATATGAGTGCCTGGAATTACTCCCTTCAATTACGAGGAAGATGAAGTCGAAAATGAAGTCGGGCAAATTATAAACATAAGTCGGGGAAAAAGATGGGGGGAAATAAATTTAAAAAGAAGAAATATGCAATATGATAGTATATGTAATGAAAAATTAGAACACATAACGGAAATAGTTTTTGCATGTCCCCCAACCCCACCCCCGCCCCGTCGACAACAATTTTTGAAAGTTTACAAAGAACATTTTTTAGGTAAGTCGGGCACAATGGGAAAAAGTTGAATAAATTTGTTTCTGCCCACTCTTTTTTCCCTCCCGAACGCCTATCAAGACGGTGATCGCTAGATAGTATACTTCAAAATAAGGTTTCCGTTATTATAACGTAGGAAAAACTATCCTAACTCAAAACTAAACCCTAACCCTAATACTATCCCTACCCTAACCCCTAACCCTAACCTAAACCCTAACCTAACCCTAACTTATCAGTAAAAATTGATATAAAAACGGAAACCTTATTTTGAAGTATACTATCTAGCAATTGCCCTATCAAGATACCGCCATGTTCTTAAAAGTAAAAACTTTTTGAAATTTAATGTTCCAGGGGGGTGAATGCCTGTCTTTAGGGCACTTGCTAAGAACATGGCCCCCAGATATGCGCAGTAAAAACTGCCTGGTGGTTTTCCCGCAGAAGTGAGACCTCAGTATGTAATTACCCTTGATCTAGCATGCATGATCTGTGCCCACTACACTGGCACAGAATACTACACAGAAGTCCATCTCCATTGTTTTTTTTGCGAAAGCGTTATTCGTCATGATTCGTCACTCGGCAAGTACCGTGAACAGAAGCAGTCACCCCCTGGACGTCCGCCATTTTTAGTATTTCCAGGGGGATTTTTGTTTTGTGTTTTACGAATAGAGCTTACGCAAAAAACAGTGGAGATGGACTTCTGTGTAGTATTCTGTGACACTGGTGCCCACATCTTCATGGCTGCCTGCATTCTCTTACCCAGAGCCCTTCTTACGCGCGGTGCGACGAGGGGCTCTGGTCAAATCCAAAAGCGGATACCATAAAAACATGGTAAAAGAATATATCCGGTATTAGAACAATAACCTTCGTTGTAGCCAATCAGATGCCAGTTTGATATGGATTTGGCCAGAGCCCCTCGTCGAACTCCGTTGACCGCGAGTGAGAAGGAGTCTGGGTACGTGAATGGGCTGCCTGCGTTGCATGCGTTGGCAAGTCGTGAAGCACTGGGTACGAGGTTGTTTATAAGCTTTGAATTAAAAATGCGATGGCGTACACGCGGCCTCAATCATAGGTTACATATTAAAATTAAAAATCAAGTTGATATTCAACCTCGCAAGCCAGGGTCATTACCTAGTACATTCATGTTGAGGCTTTACGAATTACGACTGCTGGATGTACGCAGTGTCAATGTCTTGTGTCGATTGCCGAAGGCATGAGACGAGCTCCGAAGGCACAAAATACTGGGAGGGGGGCATGTACTCCCGGGAAATTTTTAAATTTAAAGTCTCTGAAATGCAATTTCTGGACTTTGGCAGAAGATTTTACACAATTCTGGTGGTAAGAAAAGTGTGAAAACAACATTATAAAATCGAAATTTACATTTTTTCTGGGATCTTTAATATATTGTCCAAAGCAGCAAAACCTACCCCACTCAGGTCTATGCATTCCAGGTACTTTCCAGAAATGGGTTTTACTAAGTTTTGCTGTTAAATCTATTTAAGGAAATTAATTGAGAATCCTGAATTATGCGCCACCCTTATTTAACTTGTTATGTGTGCACCAGATGTGCACCACAGATTACTATTGTAAAATTTTGTGCACCAGATTGTGCACCAATAAAGGGTGCTGTGCACCGGACATGTCCGGTGTACAACACTTACATTCCATACTGGCCTGGCCTTAGTCTTCCCCGCAATAGCAGCCGTCATTTGTGGGGGTGGAGTTGCGGGCGGCCAAATTAGGGCGGACGGAACTGGTTTTTCATGCCTGCCCCTTCATCCCGCCCGCGTGCTGAAGATATATAACATATATTACATGAAGTGTTTCATAAACAATAGATTTGGCGGGAAATGGTTGAAAACAAAGATGGCTGGACGAAGGGAAGAATTTTTGGCCGTGATAAATGAGAATAAACATGGTGATTTCCTTGCATTTATCAAACTTCATGTATGTATTAAGCTTAGTTGCATATTTCTTATGTAGACTGTTCGTATATGTTTGTATCACAACTACATTATGTCATTTTATGATTGAGATATTGACGACGAGTCGAACCGCCAAAATAAAATTGACATAGATTAAGCTATGACTATGAACTGTCTCGTTCTTTAAAATCCCATATAATCTTGTCCTGAGATAGTCGAAGTCGTGAATTTAAGTTGCTCTGGCCTCTGGGTAAACAATGGGTTTTATCAAAGAACGAGGCAGTTCTGTTCGATATTCAAACCATTTCAGCCAGGCTACATTGGGCCATTCCATATTAATATAGCCCCCCCCCATTGAAGGGTCCCTTCATAATCCCCTACCTAGGACATAAACATTTTGGAACCCCCTTGGATTCAATTTGTGGAAGTTACTCCATAGGATATCTTACTCTCTCCTTTAGGATATTGCTTTTTCCCTCTTGGATATCGCTAAACAATGTGGCTATTCGTACTGGAACAGATATGTCGAGTTTGATTTGCTCTTTATACTGCAGATTTTAAATATTTCAAGAAAAATGTCTAAGTCAAGCAGAAAACCGATGGCTAAAACTAAACCGAACCTGACCTCGTTTTGGTTTGCAAGCATGCAATACCTTTGCCGAATACATTACCAGCAAGATCGCTGAAAGCTGTTGCAAAAACCTATTTTATATTACTAATTTACAAAATTATTGTAAGAATCAGGTGCTGTACTCCAGTACAAATAGCCACATTGATCACTAAAATACCTTATGTTTGCCATTTTTAAAAAATTCTCTCAAGCTATCCCGCAGGAAAATTTTAGATGAAGACCCCCTCCTCCCCCATTGGATATCCGAACCCCTCAATAGGGTGGATATACACATATTAAATGGAATGGCCATAAAACTGAGCATCGAAGATGGTCTGAAGCTGTGTTGGTGTGTGCCAACAGACGTCAAATGGTCATGTTGACTGCTGAGCCCAGGCCATTATGGCCATTTAGGTGAAAAAATATAAACTTAGTTATATACATATAACTGATAACCTGACAATTTAATACCACAAAGAAACTACAGGCATAAACCACTTCGAGAATTGGAGGCCATTGACCAGGCAACTATACAGGTTCTGACCTTACTTTTGGCTTTGCGCAGTGCTGTTTGTGTGGCAACCTTGGCGTGATTGTCTGCCAGAAAGCCAAAACTCAGGCTGAAAATCTCTGGTGTGACCTACATGGAATGCAGTCAGGCATTTAATGGGGTCCTACAGTATAATATTATATGCGAGATAATTTTGAACTGTCTGTGCCAGTGTAGGTAGTATATAAATAACAAGCTTTAGTTGGTAGGGATGCAACTACCTGAAAAATATATGGAGTATTTTGACTTTGCTCGAAATGTTGAAATTCTCCTAAATTAAGTTTCAGGTAGTAGCATCCCTACCAACAAAAAGTTGTCCTATATGGGAGTCCTATAAGTAAATATGAAGTTGCCATGCACACATACGTAATTTCAAGTCAACCTTATCACACATACAGTACATACCCACTCACCTGAGATTTCTGAATTGAATAGTGGTATTTCTGTCTTCATAGCATGCTCCAGCCCTTGAAACTCAGGTCGGCATTCGGCAATGCCGACCTAAATGCCGACCTGCAAAGCAATATGTGTAGATTTAGGTTGGCAAAATTTTGCTGACCTTAACTTTCAAATACGTATCAGCCTTTTTTTCCGCGAACGCATCATTCAAATATGCATTTTCAACGATGTTTTAATTATCAGGTTTTGATCATTAGCTTGCGTCACTTTGCGATAATCAAATTTAATCCTTGTGTAAACATTGCAGTTTCATAATGTTGAAAGGTGATACTTGAAACTTTGAAAAGTAAACATACATGTTAAAGTCGTCCAGCTTGAAGATTTAAGCGAAAGTATATTTTAATAAAGTAGTGTACGGTCTGTCACAACATTTGGTCACAACATGCACTGTTCGATTGGAGTTCATACATTTTGTTAGCTGCTTTGTTTGCTATTGGCATTGATTGCAATTAATTGCTGTTTATAAATACGCGTATTTGCAACAAGCAAATAAAATTTTCATTTGGATATTGTCTATTTGATTTGAAAATATTTGCCGATCTAGATTGAGAATTATCGCTTTTAGGTCAGCAATTTCTTGCCGACCTGAAATTTCGGGAGTTTCAAGGACTGATGCACTGAACCGAAGATATGAAAATACACGCCGTCAACCTCTCAAGGATGATGAGACTGGGACGTGTTGAGAAAGAGATTTATTAACTTAACATAAAAACCACCCACCCACTCAATTGACATTATGCATGGCAACATGAATATATGAACCTAGCCCCTAAACTATATTGCAATTAATTCCATGTACTTTTCTACATTCCAGCATTCTCGAAATGATCCATTTAACTTGGCTGAGATTATTCAATCTCTGTCTCGTAAACAGTATGAGGACATGTGGTGTGGTTTGAGTGAAATGTGTACACAAGTCTTGACATCTTTTGATCTTGAACAACAAGATAATTCTGGAGCAGAGGTATTTGTTAATTGTGAATATTCTGAAATTTGCCATTCCTGAATAATCAGTAAATACGTACCTCACTTGTATTCACACTGTATTCAAATTCACACGCACAGACGCCCCCCAAATTAAATATTGCATTAGGGTTGGCAAAATTAGATTGTGCAAATCTGAGACAAACAAAATTTAATACAATGCAAAAAAGTAAGTACTGCAGTATATAATAAGGTAGGGTTACATATGTAATTTTTTCTTGCACGGGCAACACAATAGTTCAAAATTGATTGCATTCCCAGCGCAAGGAAAGTGGCAACACATGCAATGATTTTCTTGTCTGGTAAGAGAAGTGGAAAACCAAAGTTTTACTAATAGAGGCAAATTCATGATTTCTTCACAAAATTTAGCACTCTAAGTACTTTTAGACACAAGTTCAAAAGTGTGGTTCTGATTGATAGAAACGAAAATATTATGTTGACAAATATATAGTTTGCGTAAAGATTCTAACCTACATATAAAAATGCATGAATTTGTAGTTATTTTGTAGCTGTACAAAAGTAACAATGTTTTAGAAATCTTTCTCCATGTATGTATCGACAGTAATGTGTAAACTTGGAGCTCTTTTACTTGTCCACTGGATTAGCCCCCCAAATATTTGTCACTAGCCAGTCCACTTGTCAAGTACTTTGTGGAATTTCATTGGCTGCAACTACAATCGGTTGTAATTTTATATTTTCAGCAATTGTTGCTGAAAGTTAAATATTTTAACTTTTGGCAAGGATTGCTGAAGGTATCAATGGGAATGCAATGAAATTTGGTCTGTTGTGTTGCCAGCACAATAAAAATGTTCATCCTAGGCTTAATTTACACAGGCACAAGTAAAACCAACATTCAACTTACACTGGAACTGTTGTGCAAAATGTTATTGGGCCATAAATTCAAAAAAATCAACTCCCTCTGGGGAGAAAATTTGTACTTTCTGGAAGGGGGGGGGGGGAGATCTACTTCTATTATTAGTAAAATATGCTAGGATGTTTGAAGGTAGGAGGGGGTTAGGGCAGCCACAGTATCATACACTAGGTGTATACACACATGTGTGTGTGGGGCAACCAACAACAAAGCTGTAATTATAATTATTATAATTTTTCAACCATGAATGCATTGGTAGGTTATAAATTAAAGATGATGTCCACTCGTGTGCGCATGTGCGAACTTTGTTTACGTTTTGAACTGCTGTATTTGTAAAATATGATATTCTAACTGACTATCTAACTCTTTTCTGGTTCGCCATGCTTGTAAATGAATATAAACTCTACGTTTCAATTCAAAAAAGCTCGAAAGATGCATTAAATTTGAGCAATGTTTATATTTGGGGATCCCCCTTTGTTATGAGCAGAACTGATGCGCAGAACGTGGACATCATCTTTAAGCTATATATTGCATGGAATTTAAGGCAAAAAAATGTAAACCCATTAAATTACATTGCACCCCATTGATCCTTACGTTAGTAATTTTATTCTGTCTAATGGCAGATGATTTTACTCATCAAGGGGAGAGTGCTGGTGCTCAATGAGTTAAATCTGCCCATGTGTCAAGTTACCCCTAAAAGTTGCCCCTACAGTATACCCAAAATGTCACATGTTTAAACAATTGTGGCAAACTGTAGCTTATTCATGCAACACTACCTACAATATACCCCGACTACTGTACAGTGTGTGAAAACTGACAGAGTGTTGTTTTCCAATGCTAGGAACGTCATGATGAAGTTCTCACTGGAATCACAACAATGGCTTTATGTTCCATCACAACTGATGAGCCAAATGTAAACGGTCCATTAATACAAGTGGCAGTCATGTTACATGGTATGTTCATGCCAGAACAAAGAAGAAGTTCAACACAGAATCACAGATTATTCTTCTATTCATAATGGAATATGTTTTTACCTTGCTTTAGGCATCATGCTAACTCTCCCTGAAAGTTGTGGTAAATTGCAATTTTCAATTGCCCATCTTTGTGAAACATGGTGAGATTTTTTACAAGATTTCTAACTAACTGTCAACAACTAGTTCGGTCGATGCCAGTGTAGCACAAACAGCAGCGTTATGTAGCTCTTACATCACGTTGCTGGATTAGAAGAGCTAGTTAACTTTAACAATAGTCAATACCTACATTTTATACAACCAGCTCCTGCATAGTTGCAATTAAAAGTCTATATATAAGATAACTGAAATTGTTATGAACTGCATTCTCATTTTGAGATTTCTGCAAATGAGATTCCAATGTTTTTACCTCTCGTACTTTGCATGCGGATTAATTAAATTTTGGGTTTTAATTTCGATCACACAAGGTGAAATTTTTATATGGTGCAATCCAGCCAGTTACATGTAGATGAAGCCCTATGATATACACTTGTTGATATAACTTGAATTGAATTAGGTTTCTTGCTGGTTTGGATGGAAAAGATGAGCTTGTTACTTCGATGTTACCATATTTCATCATCAAGGCTCTTGCCCAGGGCTTGGTAAGTGAACAGTTTAAAAACTCTTCCGAAAATGATTTATGTTGATGACAGGGTTGATGACAGGGCCGCACGTAGGATTTTTTCAGGAGGGGGAGGCAGTAATACATATATGCTCAAAATAAGTAGCCAAATGTCAATGCATTCAAAGCCATCAGTTACTGTAGATGTATGCTTATGGCTGTCCCATAATACATTCTGTATGGGAGTAGGCTTGGATCAAGTCCGTCTCTCTAAGAGTCCCCGCGTTATTGTACCTCGCGCTCTCCCTCCGACTCCAGAGAGATGGACTTGATCCAAGCCTAGTATGGGAGAGCCATAAGCATACAGTACATCAAGAACATTACTGTATAAAATTAGTGAGTTAAACTTTCTCGTAAGGGGGCAGTTGTTAGGAGTAAAATCGTCAGGTATTAGACAGAATAGAAGAGTACATGCAGTATGTAGAAAGATACAGGTATTGACAAATAGGCACATTTAGCTAACGTTTGTTTCTACTCAATTGAATTCACAACTTCCTCACATAATTATCATTGTTCTAGTTTACAGACGCATTAGAATAAAGAGAACTAAGCTTCAGAATTATCTACATGAGTGAATAACTCCTATACAGAACATAACTCTAATGTTTAGTTACCTTTGTCCTATTTTATATTTCTATAAACTAGAACAATGGTAACTAGGCATGTGAGTTGTTGAATTGGGTAGCAACGACGTAAACAACGTTAGTCAAGTTTGTCTGTTCCAGCTTTTATAGTAAAGTTACAAAAACAGTCTCGTGACACAAAATGAATTACCACACGAAATAAATTATATTTAAGGTGGTGGATGTTAAACGTCTGTGGAGTGTACGTCAAACTTTGTTGTTAATGGATTTCGAAGATGAAAGTTGCTGTTCACTTAAAGCGTCACTCCTGCAATGTCTCATTCATCCTGTGTTCTTGAAAGTAGAAGAAGTAAGAAGACATTATTTTAACACCCTCTAGCAAGCGTGCAGTTTTACCTTAATTCTAATCATAGCCATAGGCTCCCCAATAGCTAGGCATATTAAATATTTGATTGAAATATTAAAACTTTTAATAAAACTGTTACATATAGCGCAAATATAAAAAAAATATTTCGATAATAATGCATTTCTGCAGTTCTGGTTTCTGCTACGCGGACGACGTCACTCACGGGATACTAATAAGTTATGCAGTATTTATTCCTAAGATTGCAAGAAAATCACAAACCGATGCATTGCTATGCCTTTCAAACTATCGAACTACGCTAAAATAATAACACTTGAATCTATATGCTATATAAAGTAGCTTGATTTCTTGAGGAATAACTTGTTAGTATGCTGTCGTCCGCGTAGCAGGCAACCAGAACTGCAGAAATGCATTATCGAAACATTTTCTTATATTTTCGCCATGTTTAACAGTTTTAATAAAAGTTTGAATATTTTAATGAGATATTTAACAGGCTTAGCCATCGGACTGCCTATGTTCTAATACAGTCTTCTGGACGTCTCTCATAGTCTCGCTTTCGTGATTCAGGTTTAGTACAGGTCTTCCATGTTGTAACTCATGCATGTAACTGTAATTACGAAGTCGAGAAAGCATTTCTATATAAAGCCAAGGAAATGTTTTTTTCTAAAGGGCATGTATTGATAAAGGTACGACGTATTAGGATGTTTTATTGGTTGCAACTACTCGCTGTGGAAACTTGCTATTTTGTAATATGTTAACACAGTAGACCTTCATTAACGTTGAGCTGTTCCTGCTGCTCGAGCTCGCTAGCTATTTCAAAGAGCCAGAAAAGTTTTTTTCGGCGAGAATATATTGGACTCTCATCAACCTTGAACTGCTCCAGTCAGCAATGGAATCACATTTAAAATAAATACCTCAGACTTCTTCGATGACTTTTTATCTTCTTTTTGTTTTCCCACAGGGTCGCAAGTTTTTAAGTTACCTGTTTGGAATGCATCCAACGTTTACTGAAGAAATTCACAAGACCATCAAAAATCAAATTCCTACCTGTCCAATGTAAGTTTTAAAGTTTTAAGATATAGTTAATAATTGTATACCCTGCATACCAGACCGTTTTCCACGAGAGTAAATATAATAATATATGCAGGAGCGGAAAAATCTGCAAGAAAGGGGACGACGCAATCTCAAGGGTCTTTACCTCCGCCAGTGACATGAATATAACTGCAACGCTATCTTCAAATAAACTGCCTATCATTTTCTAGAAATCAAGACCCGCGTGTTTAAGCCACGCGATTCTCTCGCGCGAACAATTATTAGAAAAAAATAGGGGAAAAAACTAAACGTAAAGTCTACTGGGAAGTTTTACGTGAATAGATTGCATTAATAGAAAGTTTTGAGCGCTGTTATATATATATAGAGAAGCTTTTTTGTAATTTATTATGCCGGTTTTCAAGAATTCTTATTGACGTTGACGGATTGACCGCGCTGTTCGCATGTGTGAAATGACTGGGACTGACCTTCAAACTGGGCTTCAAATTTCCAGTTAACCTGCGTCCGGTTGGAGGTCGCGTCATTCATTGCACTGCTTTACCTCCGCAAGCTGCGGGGGACGAAGGGGATTGGGGGATGATTATAAGAGGAAATATTTGGAAACGGCAATCCAGCAAATTCTCTATCTTTCCACCATTTTTTTTAATTGCCTGCCTGCACATCCTCTTCTAGCTTACCCGCAACCCGCTAGCTACTAATTATAAAAAAAACAAACTACGAAGCTGAGATGCAGTACATGTTATATTAGACTACACCAACTTTGTGTAATTGTGTCTAGTCTAGTCTAGTCGACTAGAAATTGTAACCTTCAAAATAATGCGACACTTTAGAGTATACTGTACATAACTGATATATTGCAAAATTGCATTGGTAATTTACTAATACAATGTCATTTAATCTTGGACAAAGGAATTCCGGAAGAGATTAATAGTCTAAAATAGAAATCAAATCAGGTCTGATATAAAATTGAACGCTTTTATATCACATATACTTTGTCAATTTCAAAATTGTTTATTTGTTCTCAGCATAGGTTCTGAGTAGAATTTTGACTTAAATTTACGCCATAACTTTAGATTCTTGATATTGTAAGGTAGGTAAACATAAAGTACTGGACATGACCTTTAATGTATAAGAATACACTACAAGAATATTTTAGTATTTTTCTCAACGAATTTATATTCTATGATAATATATACTACGAACTGATGAATTCGTAAACTCAACATTAGCCCAAGAATTAGCGGTACTGTATTTGTACATAAAATGTTGTATATTACGTTGTCAACAAAGTAGGAAACAATCTCCGCATATAGGAGTTCCATCTTGAGACTTAATATTTATGTAGAGCAAGAGGACATATTATTCAACAGTGATATTTCGAATTTATTGCAAATTCATCATGAAACTGTTGAATATTGTGTCCTCTTCGTTATAAATATTAAGTTTCAAGATGGAACGTTTGTTACCTACTTCATTTCATGAAGTTATTGGTCGGATTTTGGTCAAATCACGTTGGCAAGTCTTGTAGCTCATATATTGGTGGGAAGTCTTGATTCTGTGATGGTGGGAAAGGTTGATCAACTATGGAATAGGGCGGTGGAGGAAGATTTTGTGTTGATTCACGAGGCAATTGAGTGTCTGCACGTAGTTCTATGGTCTCATCTCGAGTCCTAGGTTGGAGAAATACACAACGTCCTCTTCTTTTACGGTAGCAAGTCACAAAAACAACCGTACAAACGATTGCAAACACCACAACGCTTGCTAGGATTATAACTATCTTCAATGAGGATAATACATTCATGCAATCAGAGTTTGTGCAACGATTATCAACACAGCATTGTTGTGGCTCTCCACAGTCACTATCTGATCTGCATTTCCAACTTAGGCAAGTATTTGAACAATATCTCGTCGTGTAACGATGGCCACAGCAATATGGCCGAATACTGTTGAAACAATTTGAATTAGTGTTGCAAACTTCTAAACAAGTATGCTTATCCTTTGTACACCTGTATGTTCTACTGCAACATTCCTTTGGAGCACAATCTTGATCTTCGTGACATGCTTGCTCAGTACAGTTAGCTCTACAAACACTCTTTTGAGTTAAATATCTTTGTTTACAACAATATAAATCCATCTTCTCGCAAACTTTGTTTCGCCGACAATCACAATCTGGCTTCCAAGTGCTACATTTGTTTGAATAAGTACAGCATTCGTCGCCAGTGTCGCCACAGTCCTTCTTTGATCGGCACAGTTTCTGAACACAATTCACACGGCACATTTTCCACAAAGGATTAAAACTCATAGTACAACAATACTTATTGTGTGTGCAGTCATTATGTGAAGAACAATTATATATTCCAGTAGTTTCTTTCATGGTAAGAGTGAGGAACGGTAGTAAATAAACATACCATTGTTTTAAAGTAAACATCACCTCGAGCACATTTCATCGAAATGATGTCGTTTACAACTAAAATATGCCACTGACCTGTGCATCTCACTGGAATGTTCGTTCACATGACCTTTAAACTCGATATAAACAAATATTAAGTGCGACGAATATAAATATATGAGATGAACAGTTGGGAACTACTGTGGTTTAGAAAATGCGTTCAAGTTTAGTTGTCTCGAATTAAACGTTTCATACAACTACTGTAAGACGTACAGTAGCTTGGACGTACAATATACAGACGTGACGTTAATTTTTTATTCGTCTGTCTAACTGCTTTATTTATATGAGACGTATTTTACGTTTCACACTTTAAGTCGTCTCGGACGTTGAAGACATCTTGATATTTACTCATAACCGGTGTATACATGGCAGTACCCTGGTACCACTGGCCTCTAGCTCAGTTGGTTGGAGCGCGGTACCGGAATCGCAGGGACACAGGTTCGATTCCTGGTTAGACCTGTGGTTAGACCTAATAAATGTATATACATTTCCAGTCGATAATTCCATCTACATTTATCTAATATAAATACAGCCAATTTTGAGGTGGTCACGAACCATGTAATTTATGCCTTGAATTTCAGATTGGCAAATATACATTTGCAGTTATACACAGTGTATGATTAAATGACAATATCCTATATGTTTGTCTATATCTATACGTACTAATCTATTAAAAAAGTTTAAAGCAAAAGAGTATATAGGACATAGCTAGGCTAAATAGTTGCGATTAAATAGTTTTACAATCCCAGCTGTTATTGTCATTTCCAGCAAAGTTTTTTTACCCTAATGTCGTAATGATGTTATAGTCTGGCAAAATTAGCATAATTTTATCCGTTCCAAATCATTCATTCTGTATACATATGGGATTATAAAACTATTATGACCGATCTCAACTGCGTACCTATTAAAGGATACAACTGTTGCCATATTATTGGGATTTAAAGTATAGATTTACTATATACACTATTCACGACAAAATCGCCCGAGAAATTTAACCCACATGAAAGATTTTGAATGCTATAAAGTGTATTATACAAAGATTTTGAAGGCTGTTGTATGCGTTCCTTTTATTTTGAAGTATACTATATATGAGCGTATTAAGTTTCTTGTGGCATGTATATTGGTGGAAATTCTTGATTCTGTAATGGTGAAAAAGGTTGATCGTCAATTGAATATGGAGGTGGGGGAAGATTTTGATCTGAGGGATTATATTGAACAGAATAATCATTTTCTGATTCACTGCATAACTCAAATGTTTCTTCGTCTACGCTACCTCTGGGTTTAAAAAGCACACATCGTCCTTTTCGTCTACAGTAGCAGGTCAATACAAGAGCTGCACAAATAATGATAAACATCATGGTACAAGCGATGATAATAAACGTCGTCCATGAATACAGTGAAGGAGTACAATCAATACATAGTTTATCACTTCCGCAGCATTGATCTGTGCAGTCGTCATTTGTCGCACAGTGCTTGCTACATGTATACTTACAGGCTTTGATAGACTCTGTTTTGTAGCTTGGTTTGAAGTCACAACATTTTAAAGTGTGGGTGCAATCCGAGTCAGTCCTACACTCTCGTAGGTAGCTACAATCAGGCGAACACACATTGTTACTATTACAACATTCGCCTTCAGCACAGTCGTAGTCCTTAGTACATGGATGATGTTCACAGTACTTTTTACACGTTCTTATTCGATACGACAAACGTTCTTTACAGCAATATTTGCCATTACGCCTGCATATAGGATCACCAACATATTTACAACTACACATTTCTATATCGTTTGTACAAACGTTATTCTTACAGCACATACTGTAAAGATTATCACCACAATGATAAGCATGGAGACATGCTTTGCCAACACAGTTATCACTACAGACTTGGATCAAAGGATTGTTACTAACTCTACAACAAGGTCTACCGCCACAGTCCCAGAACGAAGAGCAATTACGTGTTTCATGTTTCGTTACGTTGAAAATCAGTATCACAAACACTGTTATATAACGCGGTGCATTAAACACGGACATATTTATATCACGTACTGAGACCATTAGCTGGCTAGCCTGCGTCAAAGACGCTCGTGGGCGGAAATGGGGGCGCCAAGTAGCAATTCATAGTCTGTGCCACAATAAAAATTGAAGCCAGAAGTACGTCATGTTTTGAGATTAGTGAACTCGACAGTACGTCATGTTCTGATCTGACATATTTGATGGTCCAGTCTTGATGGAAGTAGACGTTCAAGTCTTCCAGTCTCGCAGGAATATTACGTCACGCTAAGAAATCACGCGATTTGAGCGGCAAATCTAATGGTCGATACAGTTTTTTGAAAATGGAAAGTTTGCAATTTAGACCAGTGTTTTTCGACAAGTATTACTCGTTGAAAAACAATAAGTATCTTTCTTATGTGAAATAACATCTAAAAGTTTGGAATTTTTATCAAAAGTTAGACAACTGCCGTTGCTGTGGCAACAATGACGTTTCAATGTGGCGGATATTGTGGCTTTTAGTGATTTAAGGGTAAAAGAGTGGCAGAAATCAAACAATTAGGTGGAATTATGTAGTGTGCCGCCTAAACTGTCTAAATGCTGTAACAAGGTGGAATTTCGTTTTCAACCAATCAGCGCATTTGTTGACAATTTCGCTCTAAGCCAATCAGAATGCGTAATTGTTATTGTAAGTAGTTTCCTTGCGAGCACAGAAAGGCCACTTCCGGTAAAAACATACATTTGAACAGAAAATTTAGGGTCTTAAATTAACCTTCGAGGGGGCAGATGTTTTAATTTTTTGATTTATATTCAACGTGACAAGATAAAACAAGAATTGTTCTAAAAATCTGCCGCTGGGATTCGCGTTTTATTGCCTAGTTCCAAAATTATCGGCATTCGAACTTACGCGCTTTTTATACGTCGCTGTGGGACATAGGTTCGATTCCTACCAGGGACCTAAAAGTTGTTCCTGGTTAGACCTAATAAATGTATATAAATTTCCAGTCGATAATTTCCATCTACAATACCCTTCAACTATTATTCAGTCTAGTGAGATGCCAACAAAATGTTGACATTTATCTAATTTAAATACAGCCAATTTTGAGGTGCTCAAGAACCATGTACTTTATGCCTTGAATTTCAGATTGGCAAATATACATTTGCAGTTATACAAAGTGTATGATTAAATAACAATATCCTATATGTTTGTCTATATGTATATATACGTACTAATCTATTAAAAAAGTTTAAAGCAAAAGAGTATATAGGACATAGCTAGGCTAAATAGTTGCGATTAAATAGTTTTACAATCCCAGCTGTTGTTGTCATTTCCAGCAAAGGTTTTTTTACCCTAATGTCGTTATAGTCTGGCAAAATTAGCATAATTTTGTCCGTTCCAAATCATTCATTCTGTATATGGATGATCTGAATTATCTAATAACGAATTGAACTGGAATATTGCTGTAATAACCAAGCAATATTATATTAAGAAACTTGTCTGACCTTAGAGGTTGACCTCCTATAAAACTATTATGACCGATCTCAACAGCGTACCTATTAAAGATGCTGTAAAGTCCTTCTGCGCATATATTCTGCGCATCAACACATTCCATCAGTGGGGGAGCAACCTTTGGAATGTTGTTATTAAATATTTCTCTCTTTCCGAACTTTCTTGAATTGAATCTCTAGTCTGCATTCATTTACAAGCATAGCGAACCAGAAGAGTGTTAAAAATTCAGTATAATATATATCTAATCATATTTTACAACTGTAGCACTGAGTTCAAAATGTAAACAAAGCGTTTGTTTACATTACGGACTTTACATCACCTTTAAAGGATACAACTGTTGTCATATTATTGGGATTTAAAGTAGATTTACTATATATACTATTCACGACATAATCTCCCGAGAAATTTAACCCACGTGAAAGATTTTGAATGCTATAAAGTGTAATATACAAAGATTTTGAAGGCTGCTGTATGCGTTCCTTTTATCTATATATGAGCGTATTAAGTTTCTTGTGCCACGTATATTGGTGGAAATTCTTGATTCTATGATGGTGGAAAAGGTTGATCGTCAGTTGAGTATGGAGGAGGGGGAAGATTTTGATCTGAGGGATTATTTTGTACAGGAGAAACATTTTCTGATTCACTGCGTAACTCAAATGTCTCTTCGTCTACGCTACCTTTGGGTTTAAAAAGCACACATCGTCCTCTTCGTCTACAGTAGCAGGTCAATACAAGAGCTGCACAAATAATGATAAACATCATAGTACAAGCGATGATAATAAACGTCGTCCATGAATACGGTGAAGAATGACAATCAAAACATAGTTTATCACTTCCGCAGCATTGATCTGTGCAGTCGTCATTTGTCGCACAATGCGTGCTGCATGTATACTTACAGGCTTTGATAGACTCTGTTTTGTTGCTTGGTTTGAAGTCACAACATTTTAAAGTGTGGGTGCAATCCGAGTCAGTCCTACACTCTCGTAGGTAGCTACAATCAGGCGAACACACATTGTTACTATTACAACATTCGCCCTTGACACACTCGTCGTTGTTAGTACATGGATGATGTTCACAGTTCTTTTTGCACGTTCTTATTCGATACGACAAACGTTCTTTACAGCAATATTTGCCATTACGCCTGCATATAGGATCATGAACAGATTTACAATTACACATTTCTATATCGTTTGTACAAACGTTATTCTTACAGCAGATACTGTAAAGATTATCACCACAATCATAAGCATGGAGACATGCTTTGCCAACACAGTTATCACTACAGACTTGGATCAAAGGCTTGTTACTAACTCTACAACAAGGTCTAGCACCGCCACCACAGTCCAAGAACGAAGAGCAGTTACGTTCAGTTGCTTCGTGTTTCGTTACGTTGAAAATCAGTATCACAAACACTGATATATAACGCCGTGCATTAACCACCGACATATTTAAGTGAGCTATTTTAAAATCATTATCGTCAAACGATAATTTGACTCGGCTGAGCGATTTTAAAATCGTTATCGTCAAACGATAATTTAATCATTTTCGTTGTACAGTACTGGTGTGGAGACCAACATACTTAAGAAATCAAGCTATTTGGGCATCAAAACTAATGGACATCTTGAGAAAGTTCACCGGAAATTCATCTTAAATTAAGGTGGCTTGATACAGTTTTTTGAAAATGGAAAGTTTGCAATTAGACCAGTATTTTTCGACAAATCTTACTCGTTGAGAAGCAATAATTATCTTTCTTATGTATAAAAATAAGATCTAAAGAATTTGTCTTTTTAGTTAGTGATTTAACTCGTAAAAGAATGGCAGAAATGAAACAATTATGTGGAATTATGTAATGTGCCGCCTAATCTAAATGCTGTCCTTTTGTTAATTTAGTTATTTCAGTAACATTTACATGGATTTAAACTTTTTAACGTGCGCATAGAGCGTTTGTACTCATTCCCCAGGGACAACAAAAGCCATGGCGGCCTTGTTGGTGTTCCAGACAAAAGAGTTTAATTAAAATTCTTTTGAATTGGAACTCCGACATCGCGGCTGTGATGTCATGTGCAAACGCTCTACTGTATACCCACATATTGAAAAGACCGCCTTTAGGCGATTACCAGTTGCCAATTGTTTTTTTATTAATAGGCTATACTGTTTAGTGCACCTTGCCCCAAATGACCTCGTTTATTTGCGCCTGCTGTTGTGGAAGTCATTCATGCTGCATGACAGCGTAAAATGGTTAAATTTTGATATATAAAGTATTTAGATGGTGGCGTGCACAATTTAATTGTTTGTGCCAACAAACTATTTAGGAACTAAATTAAGAGCACAATGCCTCGTTGGCAGCCAAGCGCGGAGGCTGTGGATTGCGTGCGTGATCGCCTAGAGGCGCCGCCTAACATGATAAAAGGGGCAAATTGTAGATGTAGGAGAGGAATGAGGTTGGAATCAGATTGCATTGAGATCGAGAGTTGTAGAACTGCAGATGGTTTAAGATTGATGGAATTGTCATAGAATGTTTATATATATATAAATTGTAACGCAAGTTGAAATAAACTAGATAAATACAGACCATAAAGTCGCTTCTTCCCTGATCGCGAAACCTGCCATGACTGAAATCTGCCATACTGAATCCTGCCATGTTGAAACCTGCCATACTGAAACCTGCCATACTGAAACCTGCCATACTGAAACCTGCCATACTGAAACCTGTCATATTGAAACCTGCCATGTTGAAACCTGCCATGTTGAAACCTGCCATACTGAAACCTGCCATACTGAAACCTGCCATGTTGAAACCTGTCATGTTGAAACCTGCCATACTGAAACCTGTCATGTTGAAACCTGCCATACTGAAACCTGCCATGTTGAAACCTGTCATGTTGAAACCTGCCATACTGAAACCTGCCATACTGAAACCTGCCATGTTGAAACCTGCCATACTGAAACCTGCCATGTTGAAACCTGCCATACTGAAACCTGTCATACTGAAACCTGTCATGTTGAAACCTGTCATGCTGAAACCTGCCATGCTGAAACCTGCCTTGCTGGAAGCTTATTATTCAAACTGTATTCAAACATAGTTTAACGACAGTAATGTCTATTTACAAATGTCGAGTGTAGTACTGGCTCCAAATGGATTTTCGTGTAAAATTCGCTGTTGTTTCCCAGAATTTCAGCAAGCCTCCACAGGGGATTGCAAGCTCAGGGTCCTGCTAATAAACTAAAGACTCAGTCTCCTACCCAGGGTCTAAATATTCTTTCTCACACTCTGTTCAACAATTGCGGACTAGGTTTTACTATCGCAAGCGAAGTGCTGTCTGATGTACTGTAAATGCATTCCTGTAATGTTTTTTTATATTTAGTGGAACATTGGTTGGGTATGGAGAGATTTATTTCAAAGCATGGCGGGCTGCGAAGGACTTGTATCTTGAGGTATGTAAACTAACATAAATACTACGAAGCCAAATAGGAAAAATATTGATACACTAAAAGCCGCTTAATAAATCACGCAAATCCTTTGTGGCCAAATTGGGTGACGGAAAGTGCGGTTTCTTGGGGGTAAGGGCCCCCAGAAAAGCTGGAGAAACAACATCAGGGTGAGAGTAAGGGCCCTCACCGTTATGGACATTGAATCTCATGTCCGAGCCGGGCTTCCCCGTGGTGAAGTGACCGAGAGATGCGAAGATCAGGACGAGGGTAAGGGCCCCTGCCGTTATGGACCTTGCTCTCTTTTGCCGGTGTGTGCTTCACCGTGGGCGAAGTGTGGCCGTGTGGACACCACTTTCCGTCCCGCTTTCTTTATTTCTTCTTGAATGTATAAAATATTTACAAGTTGATCAAACAGAACAAATAAGATATGATTACAATTGATTTCTTATATTTAATTAAGTTCTATAGTTCCTGATTATTGGGATGCTTCTTCTTCATCCAAGGGTTGGGTGGGTGGGATTTTCCTTCTATGTTGTCTCGAAGACCGTTGAAACCAGAGTGATTAACTGAGATAAAATTTGGCTAGCTTTTGCTGATAACTGAAGAATGTCGGCCTAGCAAAATGGGATTATATTGACAATTTGGCATTGACACATGGCAGGTGTTGCCCGGAGAGCAAGGCGGTTGTTTTCTTTTCTTATCGTTTCCGTTTAGTTTTCGTTATGGATGTTGCCTCTTATTAATCCTAATTTATTTTTTAAAATAAATTGCTCCGTAATAGAAACACTATTTTTATATCCCGCTGAAGTGATTCTTATATAATGGGTATAATGACCAAGTTGGTTCTTGAATGGTTCGTATTTCTAGTCAAAAACAGTTGTTCTTTATAGTGTTTCAGAAGATGTGTTTCCTTAGTTTTCCTTAGTTAGTGAACTCTAATTGGCATGCAGTTTTACGCTAATAATTAAGGTTTTTATGATATGCGGAATTATGAAGATCGAGGTAAGCGTTGATAATTTTGCATATAACAAAAACCGAATTCAATAATTGTTAAAAAAATAAAACCGCCCTACCGTTTTTGTAAAGTCGTTTCTTTTTGGATTTTTTTATTAATTCGGTTAGAGTTAGTGTTAGAGTTAGGGTCGAGGTTAGGGTAAGGGGTTAAAGTTGGGGTAGGGTTTGGGTTAGTTACATAGCCATTTAACACCTCTTCCATCTTCCGAAAATGACGTCAGGTCAGTTTGCTGGATGGAAAATAATGCTAACCGTATAATAATTGCTATAACTCACTTCTTTTCACCCACAATACAATACGATGTTATTACATATATAAGTACACTGATGCTATGAGATCAGTACCTGTTACGTGGCCAGGGCTGGCGGAGGTGTGTAAATTTCCATGAAAATGTATTCTTGAGCCACCACATCTCCTATATGTACAGGCTTTGTCATTGGTTGATTATGCATGAAAATAAAAGCCAATAAACTGTCCAATCCAATTACTGACTGCTTGAGAAAACACATAACGTATTGTTATTCTATCTCAATGTGGTGCGCAGATATGGATTTTCTGCTGACAATGTCTATGAATTAAATATTGTTGTTTTTTTTTCAGAAAATCGAGATGTTTTGCCTTCAAGATCTTATGTTTCATGCTATCCATGCTCAACGTACAGGAAGGAACTCAATGGCGTCCAGACTTAAGAAGGTTTGCATAATTTTTGGATGTTACAAAAGCATGTTTCCAGCATAATTAAGTCACATTAGTGAGAGCAATTATCCCTCCAGGAATTGAATTCCCTTCTCTCCCCCTCACACAACGAGTAGTTCAATACCTGTAGCCTAAATACAGTATAAGGCAATATACTCTTCCAAGGTTAACGCCGCCACATTTTAACACACTTGCAAAGGGTGCAAATACAATGGAATTCCCTGTAGGTGAATTTACACAGGCAAACAAACTGGAATTCCCTGTAGGTAAATTTGCAATTAATGGCGAAAACAATATATTCAAGATGGCCTCCTTAACCTTGGAAGGGCCTATTTGTACTAACTCACATATGGCGTATGTTTTTAGCTTTTGGGATTCTTTCATCAACAAAAGAAGCATCCTGGTGTGGATAAAGTTTTACTAAAACTTTACGAACCTATCATATGGAGAGCTTGTAAGGTTAGGAAATGAATACGAGTGATATGTCTTCTCAAATAATTAGTATTTGAGAAATTCAACACAAAATGTATGGACGCTTATGTCTGATACGGTAGGAATGCATGGAATCCGTAGCTGTTCGAGATGCATCAACATGAATAACAGATGATGACAGGGCACAGCATAATCAATGATCGGTCAAATTGTAACATGACCGGTCGAATTTGTATTACGCAGGTCATGGTGAACGGTCGAATTTTGGTTAGCAGAACATGTATGTTACACCAAACATGAGATTGCGTGGGAAAACTCTAAAGTAATTACCACAAACAATCGATTTGGTCAAAGACTTTGCCTAGAAGCGTGGCATATAAATGAGTAATCATGCTTTCAATAGGGATGACGGTGCCTATTTGCCAGAGGAATAATGCATCTTTTTGGCAGATGACGTCATCCCTTGGGTATTTAAGAAGCCACATTACAACTTTAGATCACCCCTGATGATGAAGACACTAGACTGTAGTGTCGAAACGTTGGATCTTGATAACAATTCGACTGGGCTTTGTATTTATTTGTATAAACCAGAGTAGCGAGCAAAAACATGATAATAATGATATATTCCTCTTTCTTACCCACTATTTTTATAGCATTTAATAGTGAATCTTAATTTCCTGTTAACTTCCTTATGTTGGAGCAATAGAATATATATAACTTGGTATATAAGTAATAATGACTGTAGGGAGTGATGAAATATAAGGAATAATGAAAGTATTTGTTTATTTTTCACAGGTTGCTAATCCCAGTGTACGTGCAAACGCTGCCGCCATTTTGTTTGATGTTTTTCCTCTGAACGATTCTACAGCAAATGTTGCCCAATCAGATGAATTGTTACAACGACAGTTTGACGTCATTGGAGTAAGTATTCTGAAGCTGTTGTTTATGCACCAAATCTGTCAAAGCGTGTATACTTATACGCATGTCCGTGACACAGCGCAGTTTCCACGCAGAGGCCTGGAATCGCAGGACCGCAGATTTGATTCCTGCCAGAAGGCTGATAGTTGCATTTTTCACAACTGCTCCTGGCTAGGTCTAATAAATGTATAAAATTTACACTCGAAATCTCCATCTACAAAATCCTTGTACGGTCAAAAACCGTGCCTACAAAGACTAAATCAACGCACAAAAGCTCCAAAACTGGGTAAAAATCCGTGCGGAACTAAACAATTTTAACAAAGACATTTTTGTGTCTGAATAACGGGATGTTGAGAGTCTCAAGTCGCTTAATGGCAAACATGAAATGAAACAATATCGTATTCTTGGAACAAACAATATGGGTGTCAAGACGGACGGCTTAGATATTACTACATACATGTAGCTAGCTAGATGTTTTCAATTAAGATGATATTCTTTTCTCCTCTTATTTAATGTTGGCCTACATTCAGAATGTTCAAGAACATTGAACATCGAACATTGAAGATCGAACATTGATAGATTGTAGACAGAGCGTAAAAGAGTATTTTTACGTAATTATAGTTGTTTAATTTAATTGTAAGTCAGAAAATTTTTGACATGGCTCCTTGGAACTGGAAAAGCATTCTCATGAAAGGCATTTTTCTTTTAATTAGGATTTTTTGAATGATCCTTCACCGACTGTCCGCGTTACAGCAGTTCATGGTGTTTTTCATATCGTCACTTTGTTCTGGGAAGTGATACCAGCGCATGTTGTCAAGGAACTTGTTAGCAAGATTGTAAGTTAGTCGGCATTTTTGTAAATAAAGAAATAAATTAATTAACAATCCTCCTCATCACAGCCTCCATGTCCATGCATGGTGATGCAAGTGTCGGAAGTGGTGAAGAAAAGGTAAACCAGTGGGAAATATATAGAGGATATAATTAGACGGTTGCGATGAGATATGGATTTATAATAACGCAACATCATCATGTACGGGTGTGGAAATGCCAATTTGTGACACCAACTCGTACCCATGGGCATGAGCCTGGCACGAGTTATAAATGAACCACCAATTCGTCTAATGTTATTTTATGGTACATGTTATTTTGTAGTTTGAAAGTTGTGCTTATGATGTGTCGTCAACTGCTGTCAGAGTGGCCGTCTTTCAGGTACGCTGTTGGTATTTATATGGCGGGAACACTATATCACTATACAATAATAACCGAGCACATTAATGGTTTTATATAAGTCAGCATGTCCTGTTGTACTTTAACGTCCATGTTTGACATGAGTTTGGAAAAAGAGCGCTATAATATATCTACCTTCGATACATAGATCCATTTCTGGGGGGGTGTAAGGGGTTGCGAACCCCCCCCCCCCCATTTAATTTGCACCCACTAAAGAAATTTGTAACCCCTCCCAGAAATTAAATGCTCGTTGGATTAAATGACAGTTGTGTGATTGAAATAAGGATTTGGAACTAAATAAGATAAAAAAACTCAAATATTTTGCGGGCTTTGCTGCCTTACTCCCAACCATGTCCCCTGCAGATTGCTCGACGGCGCGCGCCCTCGCCCATCTCCCCCCGAATTTTCGGCACCCCACCGAGCAAAATCTGAAAATCCGTGTATGTTTCGATAACGTTGCCATGATGTTCTACGATATATTCCAGGGCGTGAAGTATGTGTTGGATAACCGCCTCTGCCATCCTCTACTCAAGTCTTTGTTACCCAGTTTGAAGAACTTATTACATGATAATTCCGAGAAAGTCAGAATTGCTTTTCTTGATATCTTGTTGAAAGTGAAAGGAATGAGATCAATAAAGGTATTCATATATTAATTGTTTAATATAGAAATTTTGAGGGTGATAGGCCCTCTGCCAGAAATCGAACTAGCGTCCCTGCGATTCCAGTGCAGCACTCTAACCAACTGAGCTACAGATGCCAGTTGTGGAGTTTAACCAGAAATTGATATTGTACACTGTGTATAATAATGGTCTTTATTGAGGCAAAAGATAAATATCTTCTATTACAACATATATACTAAGGTTCGATTCCTGCCAGTGAGTTTATATTGTTGCATCATGCGCAGCTTCTCCTAACCTAACCAGGTCTAAATGTATGTAATTTACAGTTGAAGTTTTCGTCTACAACAAAACCTTTACTTCTATCGAGTGAGATGCCGAAAATAACCACTTTTTTTGAAAACTGACTTCTGTGTTGTATTTACTCTGCGCACGGAAACAACTGACTATTTCAACATAATACCATACCTGTGCATGATTCCTGTAACATTGACATATTTTCAAAATTATTTACTTCTGCGTTGCGACTGTATACGGTAGTCTGGCCAAAACAATGATGCTTTATTTTCCATAACTTCTTTTCATCTCTATCGTTAAAAAAATCCGTAATTTAATTAAATTTCACTGAAACATAATATATCAGTATACACAGACACGGCTTTCATAATTATTCTGATTAGGTGGCTGTGTTGTTAAAAATAGGCGGCTGCGAGGAGCCGTCTATGTCATCAAATTAATTGGACAAAAGTGAAAATTGATTAGATAGCAACACAACTGAGGCCATGCGATGGCAAATAACATGGAAAATAACTGAACCAGTTTTACGCAATACAGTAGCACGTCGTTTTCGAAAATAACCAGGATATAGAGTAGACCAGGTTGAGGAAAAATAACTTTGTTTTTGAAAGCTTAGTGGAGGAAGGAAAGCAGAATTGATATTTCAAGTACTAAACACAGTAACCAGCGGTAAACTTCGTGCCGGATCTCCGGCTTATTTTGAAAAAGCCCTGTACAAATCACATAAAAGTGATGTCCTCTGTCTTTCTCTAGTTTTGGTCTATCACGCCCATGGAACATTTGTTAAGTCGTTTAGAAGTGGAGCAATCAGCGCCTGTCATACGACGGATTGTTAAACTGTTGATGAATTCATTCCATCCTGTTAATAAAGAAAGTGATGACCTGGTAAGAGAAGTCTTTAGATAATGGAGTGCCATAGGCTTTTCAATAAAGAAACACAGCACTTGTAGTGTCGTGGTAGGTTCAATCCTTGCTCGGACCTCTACTCAAGGTCTTATATTCTTTAAAATAATTGAGGAGAAAGAGCTACCTTTGCATTAACAGAAAGAGCTACAGTACCTTAGTATATGGTTAAACTTTCGCGTCTTCTCGGGCAAGGACGTTTAATCGTATGTGTCTCGGACCCCCTATCAATTGGGCAATAGCCTGTTGGGAAATCCGCTCACCAATGAGTGAGAAACTCAATAAACTCAATTCATAAACTCCGAGTCTGCCTAGACGTCATCATAAACCGTCGACAATGTTACAGCTAGCATTCTCCGAAATGACATTGTAGAAATAATCTGCAGTTGGTTATAAATTAAATACTTTGAAACCGTCCATCCACAATATTTTCCAGCTTAATCGTTGTACCGGATTATGGAAAGCAAATGCTCAAGCTGCGAGAAAATTTTATCAATACGCTCACTTGCAGATGTCATTAACAACAGCAGGTACAGTGCTTATACATGCATTAGAGTCTCCTCCCAATTGTCGAAGTCGTTTGTCTCGAAATCCTTGCTATCTTGAACTAAAACCCATCTGCCTTGGATTTCCATACCACATGTATTTTAGTAATTTTTACTCGGTTAACGCGACCTCCTCACGTAGCTGGAAATAATGACATATAGGATGCTAACAGGCACAGAAAATAATTTATTGGGAAGAATATTAATAAGCTAGGAAGAACATTTGTCCCCAAAACTTCCAGATACTTAAGAATTTTTGGGTGAGGCTGAGCAGGATATCCGAATTATTCAGACCGAGGTCCGCGTTATCTGCTGAAGCGAAGCTGAGACAGATAATGCTGACCGACATCTGAATAATTCTGATATTCTGCATAAGACGAATTCAATAATCTTTTATTATTCAGAACCTTTAAATTTTCAGAATCTTTGTCTTGAACTATTTTTTCAATTTGCTCTGTTGAAATCGAAGCAAAACGAGAAGAAGCAGCAGAAGCCATTGTCAAAGCAAAGTAATTTTTCAAAATTTCCCGCTCTTTTCCAATTCATGCAAAATACCGCTGTAAAAATACGCGGGCACCTACAGATACGATATTTATTTGTCATGTTCAAATGCAAATACGAGATTTATTTGTCACGTTCATGTCTGCACCGAGATACGGAAAATTATCTGTAGGCTTTCAACCAATAAGAATACGAGAAAATAGTAAAATGAATAATAAAAAAATATGTCCTGCTATGTCCCGAACTAATTTTGCTTCCCTTGACTGCTAGTGCGATTTTCTTCTCATGCATACGAGGAGAGTGAGGAGTAGATAAGGAATGTTCTGAGTATATGTGTACATTATCTGACTATTTATAACGCATCCACTCTTTCGTATCCGTCAGACCTACAATCTCAAGTGTCAATGGGCCTATATTATATACTCAGTTCGTTGTTTTTGTTAAGGATTACATGCGCGTATATTTGTCTATTTTCTCTAGTGAAGTTTCTCCTCCTCCTATGCAAGTATCTTGTAAGATCTTCAGCTTGCGACAGCACCACTACTGATGGAGAACTGACTGATGAAACCCAAGGTAGGCTTGTTCCTCTGACAGACAAAGAAAATAACGGGAATTGGATAGTAAATTCAAAATTCGAGCTGGATATGTTGGTTATAATGATAGAATATATTGCCCTGGCAACTGTGAAGCAACGTATAACGCCCCGGTCATTTTAAAATCATGAAGATGTCAGGGTTCTCCTTATCAGGCGGTAACCGGTAAAATTGACCGTTTCCACGACCACCGTGCGAATTTTGCCATTTGTCGGGCTTCTTTTGCCAAATCAAAAGAACGAACGCGTGCTTCAGCCCGCGAATATATATTCTATAAAAGTTTAAGTCTTCCCTCAAAATGTAGGAAATGCCGTTTCAGAGATTCCAGATTTCAAAATTTTTAGTGGGTATACCCCGTCCCCCTAGAGGTTTGTAGGTGCGACTTGCCACTTCTACCTGTTGAAAAAACTATTTTACCTGTACATGCACTTACAACTGTGGAGAAACCTGAGATATTCGAACCCTGCAGAGATTTCAGAATTATTCTGAGTAAGTGGCTGTGTTAGTAAAATTGGCGGCTGTTGGGGAGGGGACGATATATTAACACAACTGAACTCTGTAACCAAATTATAATGTATCACTACATTCATCCTTCAACAAGGTAACTTCAAGATTTAAGATGGCAAATAACTAAATCAGTTTTACGGAATAGTATGTCGTTTTCGGTTGATCGAATAACTTTGTTTGTAGCTCCGGTGAGTAGGCTCAAAACCACAATCCCTGCGCATTCATTAAAATAAATAAAGTGTTTTAATTCTTAACTTTGGTGGTGTGTTTAGACGACGTCGACAAAGAAAACGACGCAAGTTCTCAACCCGATGAAACTGAGACGAAGGGAATTGACACAATAACCATTGCAGGGCTTTTGGAGACTTGTGTTATTGTATGGGAAGGAATCAAAGATCAACTTGACAAGGTGTGTTTCGTTCATGGTAAATAGCAATACTCTGAAACTTTATTAGGTCAGCAAATCTATGGAGCAGGTCTCTGTCTGAGCCGAAAATATCTGACTCGATATCCTTTTTTAGATCCAATCTTTGAATTCCAAACTTATCATTTTACGATCCTCGTGTACTTAACCTTAAATAAAATTGTAGTAGTTGTTAATTTGTGTATTTTAGTTAATGTCAGGTGTCAACTGCATGGACGCAAGTCCTGTTCTTTTCCCACTCGCACATATATTGTTTTGTATGCATGTTGTTTAATATTAAGGACAGTATATACAGTAATGTATTGTATTGTGACGAATTCATTAAATTCAGGTCTTAAAATATCGGTCGGTCACGGACATTGTCCGACCCATTCGTGAAATTGCTCGACGTATACTGGACTTGGAAAAAAGTGGAATCTCAGGATCCTGGATCCTGAGGAACATTTGCCTGAGTAACAAGACTGAGGAACATTGCGAATTTTCCACATTTTTAAAGGATCTAATCATGTGTCAGATCATAATGTGAAACAAACTTAACTCCCTTTAACAGTGTGAACAATAATCTTTCCTCACCAATTTTCCATTAGATAATGCCGATATAATTGAGCTTGAAGAGTTTTAGATTCTGTGGATTCTATTACAAAATAGTACAGTAGCATATAGTACAGTACCGTAATTATTTAATGAAGTTGTATTAATAATACTCATGCAAAGTAGAAGAGGGCATTCAGTATACGTTTGCCACAACTTAGCCAAAATATGAATTTCTGAAGAAATTCTGTCCGAATTTTCATCCATTAATATCAATGCGACAATGCGTACTTTTACTTTGCTGATAATATGCACTGATCTGAAATAAGACTGGTTAACGCATCTATAGTATACAAAAGTGAGGCCGGAAGTCACCGGATTGTAGATTACAGATTGGTAGTTTTTCGCGTTTTTTGCCTTGGCTACGTTTCTGAGCGGGCCAGTTTTATAATCACAAAGATAGAAGCGTACAAGAAGAATTTTGAGCAAAAAATTTGGAGTATTATGGCTTTATAACGCCGCGAAACGGGATTTACAACTCTGAAGGACTGGAGAGCCTCAGACTTTGTTTATCAACACGAGCTCGTTTCGCTACTTTCATACAAAATCAGCTCAAAATATACAAGAATTACTGTTACTGGACGAATATTCTCAGGAAATTTGAAGAAATGAAGCAGCTACATTGTGAACGAAAGCGTGCGGAGGTTAGTTTTAAAATACCTTGAGGCTACTTTTATAATTATATGAATTAAAATAACATTATATTGAGTCATTGTTAATTTGGATTAAAAAATATTTGATTATCACTTGCCTTCCTACTTTAAAACATATAAAACTTCTCGACAAGTCGCCGGGGAATGCTCTTGACAAAATTGACATTTAAAACTGTTCCTTAATAAAAGTAGCCTCAAGGTATTTTAAAGCTAACCTCCGTACGCTTTCGTTCACAGTGTAGCTGCTTCATTTCTTCAAATTTCCTGAGAATATTCATCCAGTAACAGTAATTCTTGTATATTTTGAGTTGATTTTGTATGAAACGAGCTTGTGTTGATAAACAAAGTCTGAGGCTCTCCACTCCTTCAAAATTATAAATCCCGTTTCGCGGCGTTATAAAGCCATAATACTCAAAATGTTTTGCTCAAAATTCTTCTTGTATGCTTCTATCTTTGTGACTGAGAAACTGGCCCGGTCAAAAACGTAGCCAAGGCAAAAAACGCGAAAAACTACCATCTGTAATACAAATCTATACAAAAGTGGGGCCCCAGAATCGGGTGGCGGCCGGTGACTTCCGGCTTCACTTTTGTCTACTATAGATGCGTTATCCAGTCTTTATTTCAGATCAGTGATAATATGCCACGAGGAACATATCTACTGATGGTATGCCCTATTAAACTATTAAAGAAGCCATTGGTTCCATTTTACAGTATAGGTAAATACAAACTAAAGCCTATTATAGGCTCTGTTTCAGTCAGCCTAAGTAAGGTTATAGTAAACTGCAAAGCAATAATCAGTGAAGTGTAAAAACAAATATAAAAACAATATATACAGTACTTTTTTAAACGGTTTTTATACAGGTAGTCAATTTATGCCAAATAAAATACCCCATATTTTCTGCGCGCTTTGAGGAACATTTGAAATGGGCAAACTTAGGATCCGAGGAACATTGGATACTTTTTCCAAGTCTGGAGGAAACCGACGTCACTCCGACCAAAGTGAAACTGAGGTTTATTGTTTGTCCGACCGAAGTGAATTGGTGTCTGACTGAACTGCAACTTGTCCAACGTAAATCAAAATGTACCCTACCCATATCGATATAATACATTGTGCTCATATTCATTTGTGTCATTCAGTCTTATTTCCGAGCCAAACTGAACTGATGGTCATTAGACATCTGATCATATACATATGTCTGACCCAAACTGAAACTTCGGATTTTTGTCAGACGGTCCTGTAAAAGATATTTTAAGGCCTGAAATTAAATTAAATAATGGCTTTATTGACATGGCCGTTCTTACAGGTAATGCTAAAGCGTTAAACTATAACTTAACAGTTATACTAAATCCAGAAAAGCTTCAGCACAAGTACTGACGTTCTGCATTTCTTTTGCAGCCATCCCAAGAAACACTAAGATTAAATCTCAATCAACAATTTGCTAAAGCAATTCCAAAACTTTTCAAGTCCATTGAGGTAAGAATAATTAACATTCATAACTTGTTAATAAGGACGAATTGCAGTTTTTTAAAAGAAAAAGTTGTTTTTTTTATTTATTTTATACTTAAAAGTATACACTTGTTTTTCAGGATGATCGATGTCAATCTGCCCTCACTCTACTGGCTGCTCATCTCTCACCAAATCTTGTTCCATCTTTAAGGTTTGACAAATAATGTGTATTACATAACACCAAATTAAATTGTGGTCATTTAACTGGCTCGTTATGATCACGTGATATTCAACAAAAATTTCCATTGCAGTCCCCGCCATGCATTTTTGGACTATACGTTTTGTACCATTGCACAATTTGGTTTTCATTAAAATTCCATCTTTTACCTCATGAAAATATTTTTCCCATTGCACACATTGACATTTATTACTGTATTTATAATATACAGCCTGCTGGATGTCTGGTATCAGAAATACAAACACAAGTTGAAAGCGTTTGTATTTTCTAGACGTCATTATATCTCAGTTCTTTCTTCCATGAACGATGAAACACCTCGTGACGTGTATGGTCCGTTGTTAGAATGCGCCTGTTCTTGGGGACAGACAAAAGATGTTTTGGAATTAATTAATGACAGGTTATTATCTGGTCTACAAGAAAGCCCAGTACAGGTAATTCAGTTAATATCAAATTTAGGATATGTGAGAAAATGTATGCCATGTCAAGAGATTGGTCGAGTCTTCACTTGAAGTGCAATAGGTTGTCGAAGATGAAATTTTTATACATTTATGTCATACATATTGATATGTGGATTATATGTGTTCAACGTTTAGTGTTCCAAATTGGTGTTTTGTGTGTTTTTGAAAGACTGGACATGTGTTTTGTTACTTTACAGCCAAAGGCAGCAAAAAGAAAGCGAAAGACTGTCAGCTTCTCCATACCACAAACAAAATCATCAGTTGTCCTAGATTTTCTTGATTGGATAATGGTACTACATTTTATGTAATTTGCAACATACGTTTTCTGTCTGACATTAGGCTTACCGCATGTATCCACATCTTGTCTATTTTAAGCGCCAGTTTATACCAACATGTTTAAAATGGTAAAATAATTATGAAAACGTTAATCTATTCAATGCCTTTATCTAGGCAAGCCCGAGATGTCGTTCTTACATTTTTTACTCGAAGGAGGATGTTCAGATTTTATCTGAAACTCTGAAGAATTCCTTGGTAAAGCGTACTTATTCTTAGCTCAAATTTAATGTTTATTTCCTGCTTTACCATATAGCAGGATTTATTTCTGGAGTCCTAAGTTTTGAGGACCAAAGCTCACTAATATTAGTGGTTCAATTATAATACAGAAACTGACAAGAAGGAAGTGAAGAAAGTTTAACATGGCTTGTACTTGTGTTTTTCAGAGGTGTATCGAGAGATATCTAAGCGACTATACAACGTACACAGACAGTACAGAAAGAAAAGACTTCCTAAGTAAAACTTTCGACAGCTACTGTCGGCTAGAAATACATCTTTATGCATCGGTACGTGAGAACCAAGATAACTTTGAAAAGACGTCGAGGTTTCTTCTTGTAGCACATTCTATTCAGTGAAGCATGTGTAATTAGAATTTCATTACCATTTGAATTTCATTACCATTTGAATTTCATTACCATTTGAATTTCATTACCATTTGAATTTCATAACCATTTGAATCCACACGGTTGCGATAAAAAGTTGTTTCCGAGTTTTGCAACCGAAGTTATGAATGAACAACTTTACGTTTCACGTTACAAAATAATGACATGGGCTGTAACTATGCGTTTTCTAACTGTAATTTTGTATATAATTAAAATGTATATAATTGTATAATTAATAGTATATAATTGTATAATTAATAGTATATAATTGTATAATTAATAGTATATAATTGTATAATTAATAGTATTTTGTCAAACGGCAAAATATTAGGCATGTAATTTTATTACAGGTTTGTTATTGTCTTGACTCAACACGGAAGAGAAAATGAGCGTTGCAAAACGCAAAGTTACGCCACAAACGCTTTATTCTGATGTGAAACATGAAGTTGTTCAATCACAACGTTGGTTCCAAAACTTGGAAACAACTCTTTTCCATGAAACCATTGCAACATTGAAAGGTATAAATTGTATCTTATCAGGAAGGTCGTGATACTAGTGAAGAAGAAAGGAGTTGTGATGACGAACTTGTATCTTCATACAAGAAAATTCTCAACTGGTGTGATGGTGTGTTACTACGACACCTTGATGAAACTGGGTGGGTGTATAGAATATTTATTGTTTGGTTTTTGCACAGGGAATTAACCTATTACATTAATAACGCGCTTGTTGTATTAACGGAAAGATAAGAAGAAAGAAATTTACTTATCAAATGATTCTGGCTGTGGTGGGCGGCACCGGACTGCACTGCACTCTCACTGGGTTGCCCCCTACCCCACATAAGATTCAAAACATGTTCATTTGATATATCAAATCATTTGATATAAGATTCGAGACATCTTTCTAGAGAACAAAACATGTTCATATTAAGTAGTAGTTATGGTGCCGCCCAGCATTCGCGGCAAAACTGAATCTTCCCCCTAGAATTTAGAAGTATATGTGATAAAGTAACATCTATATAGTGGATTTTGTTGATGTAAACAATACTACTCGTGATTATTTGGTGAAACATAATCTTGAACGGTCAGTGTAGGAGTGCCAATTAGCCATTCCGAAGTTGATGAGTGGACTGGGGACGGGTGTTAAAAAGTGCCCAAATTAAGAAATGAACCAAATCACTAAAAAGACCACCTCAAAATTAGTAAGTATACAAAGTTTGAAAACGTTTACATGAATATTGTGAAATTACTGATTAAAAGATTGTTTTGAGGACGCGCGTCCCAAAAACAAAAATTACAGTACATTTCATAGTAAATATCGCGATTTTCGAAAGCTTATTATTCGGAGGGTGATTCATGTAAATGTCTTCAAACTTTGTATACTTGCTAATTTTGAGGTGGTCGTTTTGGTGATTTGGTTCATTTCTTAATTTGGGCACTTTTTAACACTCGTCCCTAGCCTGCGAGCAGGCTCTCTGGGTGAAAGAGAGCCTGCAAGGATCCCTATAATGATTGCGTGCCGCCTTTCAATTAGGATGTCACAGGTCAATTAATAACAACCAATCAGCGCAGACCGGAAATACACTGCAATATTGTAAACATAAACCGATAAACGTTGAACAGATTCCTTATTCTGTGTCCATACTAAAAAAGTTAAAACGGCTCGCGGTTTTACAGTGTGACAGTGTAATATATCAAGTTGTACTTTTAGTTATTACAATCTGCATGTGTTTCTGTGGGCACAGTAAGTTTGAAGTTGTTTTTTACCCGCTAACTAATTCAATTGTTTGGAATTGCTTCGTGTTGCAATATATAATATATATATATAGTAATAATATAACTTACTGAAATTTATGGCTTTGGTGAGACATAGACATATATGATATACCATGGACATTGGACATAATTTAATAATATGTTTATAGTTCAAATTTTGCAACAAAAAGTGGAATTAAACATGCATGCATTTGATAATTATTGTAAACAAAGTGA